GCTGACATAAGAGAATTACCTGATCTTCATTTTTATGCCAGCATGAACATTTTTTGGTTATCTCAGGTTTTCTTTATCATATGTGACAAAGGATCTAAATCATACTTAGGGAAGGCAAAAAAGTAGGAAGAAATGGCACATTTATTGTAAAAATTGCAACTCAAAGTTGAGCTCCAGGGAAACAGCTTAGCAGTCAAAGGAGAGAATTTTAAATCCAGAGAAAATGATTAATTCCAATTCGTTTTGCTTTTGACAACTGTTCATATATCTGGAGTATAAGGATAACATTTAATACTGTTTCCCTTTCACAATTAGATTAATTTTTTTTCTTACACTCCATTATTCTTCTCTCACAAAAATCATAGCTTTGTCACCAGTGTTAACTTTCTCAAGTTTATTTATGGGCATTTATAATAATTTGAAGTATATTTTTCAGCTTGAATTTAACTACCTGTGACAGAAAAGACAAAAGTTTTTTCGGAAACGTCTACCCATATCTAAACTAATTCTGATGCCAATTTGTACAGTTGCCATATGGTAAATACATTGAACATTCAGGGTCCATTAAGAGTCTGCTAGGCCTTTAGGCATTCTAGTACTACCAAATGTGATCTTTTTATTTATTATCCAAATGTCAATAATTAGTTGGAAATTAACTCATGATATGTGTTCATTGCATTGTTTTCCTGAGCAAAACTGTTGTAGTCTAATTAAAACAATAGAATATTTGTATTATGACAGTTTTTGATAGAATTTCTGTAATTCTAAAAGCCACTTTTTAATGTCCCTTTTAAAACTTTATGTTTTTAAATTCTTTAAGTGCAATCTTACTTAAATAAATAAGTTTTCGGTTTAGTTTAACAAATGCTACTTTATTATTTTATTATACAAAGTAGCATTAGTTTGGACAATTCTAATAATTTCTGGACTTGAGAAAGTATTTTCAGGGCTAGATGTACCAAGTTGACACTCTACAGTTAGTTTTCTTGGCTCTATCATATAGTAAACACATACTTCACAATTGCAAAATTTGAACTCAAATAGATTCAGAATCAATAGTAATTTTATCACTCAATGTTACTATCAGTAGGGTTTCAAAAACCAGGAACAAATATTTTCATTTCTTCCTACTACTAAAGACCAGATTTAGATATGAAGAATCTATGTTCATTAATGATATATCAGGTGCATCTGTGTGAATTATTATTTTAAATTACAAGTCTCTCCCTCCAGTTTTACAAGCTTGGAGAGGGTTCTTTATCTACGTTTGGTTTATAATCCCCAAAGATTTTAAGGTGCAAATTCTATTCATTTCTTTACTTTCAATTTCAGTTTAAGGAGCAAATAAATCATTTTTTTGTTGACATAAAATGTTTGCTTAATTTTGATAGATTTAAAACCTTTTACTTTTATTAAGTTGATAAATTATTTAACTGTCAAATGATTCCTACACAGTAAGATTTGGCTTCATGTATAATGGTAGTTTATCCAATTATTACTGTTTTCCACAGAAAAAAAACTTGTGTAAATTCTGTCTTAAAAATACTTTTACTTAGCATCATTTTATACATAATTTTTTACATTCATCTCAGCATGGAAGTATCACATTTAAAATGGATAAGGATTACTTGGAAAAAAAGAGACGTCTTTCTTAATGCTAAGACATTTTTTGTGCTTTATTTTGTGGTTTCAAATATGGAGATTTCTTATACTTCTTATAGCTAATAAAAAATAATCTTTGATATAATATCATTATATATTGCTGTATTATCTTTCTATTTGGTGAGGAAACATATTCTAGGGAAGACAATATAGGCTTGGATTAGTAAAGCCTAAGTGTGGTTCTCGGCTTGACCTGTTATTGGCCATGTGGACTGTGGATCCTTTACTTCCTAATCCATAATTACCATAGCTGTGAGAATTAGGGCTAAGTAGGCTAGTTGGTGCCCAAGTAATTGTGATTTTTGTCATTACTTTTAATAGCAAAACCCACATTTTTTGTGCACCAACTTATAATTAGTTTATTTGGTCTGTTCACTGAAAATAATATTTTTATTAGTGCGTTTGCAAATAGATTAATATTAAGTAAAATGTTTACTGTATACATTTCTTTTCTTGTTTGAACTTTGGAGTATGTTAAAAATAGATAACAAGAATCTGATTAGATGAGTTAGGACACTTCTGTCCTTGTCTCACATTGCCTCCTTCACCATATATCACCTGCCATTTTAAAACATATTTTTCCTTAAAACGTTAAGTGTAGCAATACATTTTATCTGCCAGTTAGTTATTTTATTTTAAATAATATTTTTCATTCAGTGAGAGCATAACTTAAAGTCTTAAACATCTTGACTTTAATAAACGTGTAGGTTTTTTTTTTTTTTTTTTTTTTTTTTTTTTTTTTTTTTTTTTTTTTTTATTTTTTCACTCTGTCACCAGGCGCTGGGCTGGAGTTCAGTGGCTCGACCTCGGCTCACTGCAACCTCCACCTCCCGGGCTCAAGCAATTCTCCTGCCGCAGCCTCCTGAGTAGCTGGGACTACAGGCACGCGCCACCACGCCCAACTAATTTTTTTGTATGTTTAGTAAGACGGGGTTTCACCATGTTGGCTAGTGGTCTCGATCTCTTGACCTTGTGATCCACCTGTCTCAGCCTCCCAAAGTGCTGAGATCACAGGCGTGAGCCACCACACCTGGCCAATTTTTAAATGCCTTCCTTAATAATATCTTTTTTTTTTTTTTTTTGAGACGGAGTTTTGCTCTTGTTACCCAGGCTGGAGTGCAATGGCGCGATCTCGGCTCACCGCAACCTCCGCCTCCTGGGTTCAGGCAATTCTCCTGCCTCAGCCTCCTGAGTAGCTGGGATTACAGGCACGCACCACCATGCCCAGCTAATGTTTTTGTATTTTTAGTAGAGACAGGGTTTCACCATGTTGACCAGGATGGTCTGGATCTCTTGACCTCGTGATCCACCCGCCTCGGCCTCCCAAAGTGCTGGGATTACAGGCTTGAGCCACCGCGCCCGGCTCCTTAATAATATCTTACCAACAAAATGTTAGTTGGCTTTGATGCTACAAAATTTTTTCCTTTCTGATTTATAAAGCTTGTAAATATGAATGAAAATTTCTTCAGGATTAATAGGATTGAGATTGTAGCCATACCTCATTTTGTTTGTCTGGAAAACTCTAACATGTTTATTTTACACAGCATTTTCAAGAAAAAAAGGTCAACTATTAAAACAATATATGTAAATAATACATATATTTTATGTAGTTTAAGTAGCAATTTGTACTTAAATAACTCTATTGAATATAAACAAAATACGTCTTTAACTTTTTCTGTATGTAACCTGATTCTTACATGACTATTCACATATATTATTCAAACATTCTCATGAGGCTGCAGGAAAAAGGGGACACTTATACACTGTTGGTGAGGATGTAAATTAGTTCAGCCACTGTGGAAAGCAACTTGGAGATTTCACGAGGAACTTAAAACAGAGCTACCGTTCAAATAATCCCATTACTGGGTATATACCCAAAGGAAAATGGATCATTATACCAAAAAGACACATGCACTCATATGTTCATCACCCTGCTTTTCACATTTGCAAAAACATGAACTCAACCTAGGTGTCCATCAATGGTAGATTGGATAAAGAAAAGGTACACATATAGTATGGAATTCTATGAAGCAATAAAAAGAATGAAATCATCCCCTTTGCAGCAACATGGCTGGAGCTGGAGGCCATAAACCTAAATGAATTGATGCAGGAACAGGAAAGCAAATGTTGTGTGTTCTCTCTTATAAGTGGGAGCTAAGCATTGAGCACACATGAACATAAACATGGGAGCAATAGACACTGTGGACTACTTGGGGGGAAAACTACCCATTAGGTACTATTTTCACTATCTAGGTGCAATATACCCGTTAAATAATAATAATAATTTAAATAATTTTTTAAAATGAGGAAATCTGTACCCAGTTTTTGAATCAATGCTTGCCATATTTTAAAAAACTTCATTCACTGCTGATATCTGATAGTTGGATAAATACTTCAAAAGATGCAACTTCAAATTAAGAAGGAATTATATTTATCTAAAAGCATGGATTTCTGTGTAGTCCTATAAATATTGAACTTTTTGAATGAATGAGTGAAATACATGGATTATATACATTCTGTTTTTCTACATTATATTTTATGACATGTTGTTTTATTTTGGCATACTCTGTGTGTTCTTTCTGCATTATATTTTCTTCCACACTCCTCCTCCATTACATTTTGTTTTATAAGATTACTAAAGTAAGAATTTTTGCTTTTGCATAAAACTATATTTTAGGATGACTTCACAAGATAAGATACAAACTAGAATAGTTACATTTAGCAATCTAAGTGGACAAATTAGAAAGTTATGATGCATTCATGTATAAATTCATAAATTAAATGTGTATTTACCACTAAATTTCTAATTACCTGGTGCTGAAGGAGCAACGTGAATTTAAAAAAAAAAAGAGAAGTGATCACTGTCCTTGTTGAGCTTACAGTTTCATAGGGGCAAAAAAAATTAATAACAAATGATAATGTGAGGAAATACAAGTGGAAATTTGCTCTTCTAACCTGTGTTATGAAGCAGAGTACATGGTGCAGTAATTAGGGAAGACCCAGAAGACTTCTGGAAAAAAATAACTGTGATGTGAAAAGTGGGAGGTAATTAGGCAAAAAGGTTGAAGAAGAGCATTTGAGACAGGAAATAGAATGTACGAAAGGTATTTTGGTAGGATGTTGAGTGCATCCAATGCTATCTGTGACTATTTAACTATTTTTTATAATAAAATTATTTTATTGGAAACATAAACATACTGTACATCAATTTCTGAAATGTATTATTTTTATTCTAGTGTGAATGTTACCGCTATTATTGGTAATAATGTCTTTTTGTATAGTTCTTCATACTACAAATAACTATACAGAAACACCACAAATTAACAATGTAATTTCAGCCTCATGTTCTGGACTGAATGGGGACAAATGCCCTGTATTGGAAAGACTCGCTTGAATGGCTCAGAGAAGGTCATCCTCGTAAACATGGAAATAGCATGGCCAAATGGCATCTCCATCGACTATGAGGTCTGTTGGATTTCTTTTAAGTACTTCAAGTGCATTAACTGACAACTTTTATTAACCCACGTTTAGTGTTCCTTTATTTTCTTAATAAAATAATCAAAAATAGTCTGTAACATTACTTTTCAATCGATATTTAGGAAAATAAATTGTACTGGTGTGATGCTTGCACAGACAAGATAGAGAGAATCGACCTTGAGACTGGAGGGAATCGTGAGACGATGCTGTCAGGGAGCAATGTGGATATGTTTTCCGTTGCAGTCTTTGGGTCTTACATCTACTGGTCTGACAGGTAATTTATTTTTTCATGAATATTAGAGTCTCAAAATATTATTTCAGTGCCAGTTGCTTTACCCTTGTAGGATTTGCCATTTCTTAGCAAGGTAACAAAAAGGATCTCACAAAGCCATGTAATTTCCACAGAAAAGGCAGGCATTCTTGCTATTCCAAGCTCAAGAGTTTCAGTGTCACAGACTAAAGTTGGTTTCTTTTCCTTCTGTTGGCCCGTCTGTTATCTTCAGCTAGGTAACTGGCTTGATTTTAATTAGTCAAAGATTGTTGATCATGTATGTTTAACTTTTTGGCAGAGCACATGCAGAAAGGTCTGTCAGAAGGGGTCACAGGAATGATGCCACAGAAACGGTAACCGTGAGAACTGGCCTTGGAGTCAACCTGAAGGCGGTTAAAATCTTTAACCGAGTAAGAGAGAAATGTCAGCACTCTTAAAAGAATATATAATACGTACACTTTATGTGATTTCTCTCCACTTTTTAAAAGCATTTGTCAATCTTAGAAATTCTTATGTGAGTCTAAAGTCTCAAAATCTTATTTTATTTATATCTGATTTTCTGCAAGTATCATATAGTAGCCTAATACAATAAATATGTCTTAGTTCATACAAAGGCATATTTGCCCAGGGCAGCACAAGTACATGGACATGTTACATACTGGGCATATCTTGATTACAGGTTTTGGCTGAGGAGTACAGAAAAAATTGATACATGTATTGATTAGCTAAAAAATTAAACATAAGTAGGATATTAGAGAGTAAAAGGAAGTTAAAATTTTTAAATATGAATCATATTATATATAAATATTTATGGTCCCCAAAGATGATACTGTTAGTGTAAAATATTTCCAAAGTCATTACTTCCTTAAAATAGTTTAAACTTTTAGGACAATGATTTGGGTGTTTACATTTGTTTACCTTCATTAAAATAAATTGTACTTTTTATATCAAAGGAAGATATATTAATCTTGGAAATAATAATAGTGAAATCACAGAGCAGAATTAGTCTGATGAAGAAATCTTAAGTGCATATTATATCTTCATTCAAAATTGGTGTAAGAACGTATGCTCAATACATTTAGGAGGTTAGGCATTTCTTTGATACTTTACATATCTCATAGAGTTTAAAACAGTGCATTATTTTTGGTTAAATTAATTCATGTTTAGAATGAACACTATATGAAATATTATAATCTAAGGATGAAGTTTCAAAAAAGATTTATATACTTAACTGACCCATTAAGGAAAAAATGTAATGATTTACTTGGATGGTGAGTGAAACAGAATATGATTTTCCAAGTAAAGAAATCCAAGATTTTAAACTGCTGTGATTTTTTAAAAAAGCAGTCTTTTAAAATTTGTTGTTGACTAGCTTACATTAAAAATAAAAAGAATATTCAATATCAAAGTTTTAATATTTCTATGTGGAGAATTTTGTTTGAAAAACAAAAGAAAAACATAAACATGTACATGTGTATATATTTTTTTTCTCCCTTAGGGACCAATGTTTGTGCCAGGGACAATGGTGGCTGTAAGCAACTCTGTCTTTATCAAGGAAATTCCTGGAGAACTTGTGCTTGTGACCATGGATATTTGGCAGAGGATGGAGTTACTTGCCTAATGCATGAAGGCTATTTGCTCTATTCAGGAAGAACAATATTAAAAAGTATACATCTTTCTGAAGAAACCAATTTAAATTCCCCAATAAGGCTGTATGAGAATCCACATTATTTCAAGAATGTCATAGCCTTGGCTTTTGACTATAATCAAAGAAGAATACGTACCAACTGAATCTTTTACAGTGATACACACTTTGGAAATATACAGCTTATTAAAGATAACTGGGAAGACAGACAAGTAATCTTTGAAAGTAAGTACAGCAATTTAATTTTAAATAGTTTGGTGGAAACGAGTATCATTTAGATTACCAGGGAAATAATGGTGGTAATTTCATGTAACAATTACATTTTCCTAGAGTTTATATTCAGGAATGAATGTGACTCTATCATTTGGCCACCCTAAAATGTCAAAGAAGCAATTAACTGGTAGCATGTATGGCATGTAAGCTACGATTATTAGCTTCTAATCATGGAATTTTTAATATGTTTTGTCATGTTTCTTATAAGTAACTGCACTAAAATTAATGGAAAATACTTTTTCAGCATAAAACTATTCTGATTGATTTTTTTTCTAGTGGGGGAAATTGTATTTTTAAGAATATCTGTCAAGTAATATTCAGTTAATCATAGTTTCTCAAGCAAATATCACAGATCAGTTTGTGTGCATATATATAATATAAATACATAGCAGCTTGAGAAAATATTATAGAAATGATCTAATATTTTTAATATTTTTATGGACATAATTATTCAAGCATAATATTCGGTGTGGATTATTTACATAATTTAGGAAAACTCTTTTCCTGTCATTCAACTTTAACAAAAACCATCTTCTTATCCTCACATAACTTCTCTCTTCTCAGTGTCTTTGTGTTATTTTTGCATATTTCCCACTTTTCCAACTTTACTATGCTGAGATAGATTTTTTCTTTGCTTTCTAAATTGCAAAATAATATATAAATTTGTTGTAGAGTGTTCAAAGAGTATGGATTAAATATGAAATTCCTGCCTCATCTCTGCCACCATCAATCCCATTTACTTACCCATAACTGACATGTGGCATACCCCCAGAATTTTGATAAGTATGCATGTGTATCATTTTTAATTATAAAAGTGGAATGATACTAAATATATTACTCAGCTAACTGCCTTTTTTCTTACTATATGTTACAAAGCTTTTATTTTATTACATGAGGTTTCATCTTATTGTTTTGAAAGCCTGTACCTAGTTCGATTCTAAAATATAAGGTAGTTTATTAAATAATTTTAATAAAAAATATAGATTTAGATAACTAAACTATAGCTATTCAAGCCTGTGTGTGTGGTGGACATTTTTGAAAGAATGAATGCAATGAGTGTGTCACTTCAATGTAAATGACCTACTGTATGTGTTGCAAATAGTAGAAACCAAACTCTGAAGTAAAAGTTAGAAAAATAGAAGCCTTGTATCCACCACAGTAATCTTGAAAGCTTCTCATTATTTACAGGCTTTTTTGGTCAGATGTTGGTAATATTAATGCATGTGATTTTGGAGTATTACATAATGAAATGTGTGAACATTTAGAAGATATGCTTGTTAGAGAACCAGTATTTTCAAATGACGTGATAAAATCACGCATGAGTAAATGACTTATTTAAAGTACAAGAGAGGTCAATGAATTTTAATGTAATAGAGGATAAAAACTTCATCACTAGGTTTTCAGATTCCACACTGCAACTAACCTTTAAGTAACAACCACTTGTCACTTGTTGGTGTAGTATAAAAGAATACCCAGTTATCTGTAAAGGCTATTATTAATATTAAGCACTCCTCTCTTTTCCATCTACATAACTGTGTAAGGCTGGATTTTCTTCATATACTTCAACAAAAACAACACAACAGAGAGGATAAAGAAGCAGATATGAAAATCCAGCTGTCTTTTAGTAAGACAAATATTAATATATTTGTAACATTGTAAAACAAGGCTTTCTTTATATTATTTTTGAAAAGTAATTACTTTTCTTAGAAGGTTCTGTTTAGCCGGGCACGGTGGCTCACACCTGTAATCCCAGCACTTTGGGAGGCCGAGGCGGGTGGATCACGAGGTCAAGAGATCGAGACCATCCTGGTCAACATGGTGAAACCCCGTCTCTACTAAAAC